AAGTGACTTCATAGCGTTTCCCTACTTTATTTCTCTGGTGGCCCTTGGAGTTATTAGAGTGGTTACTCCGTTTCTACCTCTCAGGAGGGGGGAACACGTGCATGCGCGGCCTGGGGACCAAGAGTCCAAGGTTTCTACCCTTTAAAACTGTAGTTCTTCTCCATGAATTTGGAACTGGATCTAGACATTGAAAGAAAATATGTGCAACCAGTCCCCGACCCTCCCTGCCAACCCAGTAAACCTGCGAGATAGTCTATGAAACAAAGTTAATGCTACCCGTGACAGGGGTTCCCAGAATCTGGTGTTTTGGGTGGCCTCCAAACATATGCTTTTGTGTGTGTGTGTGTGTGTGTGTGTGTGTGTGCATGGTGCTGGGGTGCACCCAGGGCCTTGCACACTCTAGGCAAGTGCTCTGCCACTGAGCAACAGCCCCAGCCCTTAAATGCTTTTTCTGATACGTATAGGTTCAAAAGCTCCTCTCTGTGACTTTCTAAGATTTGGCTGCTAATTGGCTACAGAATGCACTAAGTTCTAGACTTAGCTTAGTTTCTCAGCTCTTTATAGGGTGGGCTTTATTTTTTCCCCTCCCCTCTTGCCATTAATCAAAGCTTCTCTCAATTTACCATCTGCCACTATGCACTACATGGATCCCACCACAGTCATCCTCCGTGAAAGAACAACACTCAAAATCCAAACCCACCTCCCCTGAAGCCCCAGAGGAAGGGAATGAGGTGAAAAGAAATGGATCATCCCCTAAAGTAGGCTGAAAACCATGTGGCAGTGGATGTCTGGGGCAGAGCTCAGAATTCCTATTTCCAATGCTGATTTGGCCTTTTTACCATAATTGTCCAAGTGAGAAAGTTTCCTTTATTTCTGATGTGAAAAGTCATTTCTTCCCCTTCCAGAAGATTACAGCATGATTACTCAGGAGGTCAAGGAACAAGGGAGAAAGCAAGCAGCCTGCCTTTTCATTTATTCATTCAATAATGTTTGAACATGGCAAAGTCTCTGCCCTCAAAGAACTAACAGTCTGGGGTGGAGGGGGGGGGCGCGGAGGACAGATGTCAAAATAGATCATCCGAGATGCAGAGGATTCAGGCTGCACTATGGTCTGTGGAGAAGTGCTCACAAAGCAGGGTGGACCAACTCGGGGCTGGACAGGGGAGTCAGGAAGGCTTGACCCCTAAGGGGAGACCTCAGGTTGGTACCCGCAGTGAGGGGAGGGCCTTCTGGGTGGCAAGAACAGCACATGCTAATGGAGATTGGGGTGCAAGAGAACAGCTCGGGGACCTGGGAGCAATTCCATGAAGCCGAGAAGGAAATAGAGCTGCAGAGTCAGGCAAGGGCTCCGAGGTGGAGGCTTGGTCGCCCACTGAGCAGGCAGAACTCACCCCAGGGAAGGTAAGGAGCAGACGGAGGCAGTGAGCGAATTTTGCTTTAAATGCTCAGGAGCTACACAGTAGACGGTGCACTGGGCGGGGGGGGGGGGGGTGAGTCTGGAGAAGACCAGTTAGGATTTACCTAGTGGCCTGGGTAATAGCTTTAGAGATCAGAGTCCAGAGGGCTGCAGAAAGTGGATGGATTTAATAGAGCTTTAGAAAGCCCAATCGAATATGAGGAGGAAGGAGAATAAGAGGGTGACCTGCAGCACTTCCCAGGAGAAAGAGGTTGGAGGAGCCCCAGGGGTGAGGGGAGATTATGGAATGGTTGGATTGGGCTCCCATTCCCAATATCCTCCAGGTGATCAGCTCCACCTTTCTCCCTGCCTCTCTCTCGTGCTCACCTGACCACAACTCCTCTTTTAAGGGGTTAAGAGCGGAGGGGCCACTTCTCTTTGCTGGACCTCAGTTTCAATCTGTAAAACGGGAAGAACTAAATCCAATGGGATCCAGGCCTTCCCTCCTCTCCCAGGCGGAATCTCGCAACAGCGTCTGGCTCAGCCTCTGGCACTACTTAGCTTTTGCTGCCCGGAGTCTGCATGCCCTGCAGCTCCTGGAGGGCAGCACTGTCCCAAGCCTCCCTGCGTTCTCCAACAGTTCCTGGTAGAGGCTCCCTCAGGACTGAGAGGCCAGTCTCCCTGAATGGGCGTCGGGTTTCTCTGTCATTCTTCTGCTCCAGAACTTTCAGAGGCTGGGTTTAGAGCCCATTTTTACTGTGCCCTGGGGTGAACCTCTTCTTTCCCAGGGGCCATCTGGGTCACACTGGAGATGGAGGGAGAAGAAACCTAACAGGAGAGGGCGCCTGGTCACAGTCCTGCCTGGCTCATTGGAGGGTGGGTCCAGGCCGTCTGTGTGTGGGGACGTAGATGCAGGTTTGTGTATATATGTATGTATCCATGTGCAAGCATCAGATGTGAGTGTTCCTGTGTTTATTTCTATATTAAGTTGCAGTAAGGACCTATGCGTTTAAACAACCATGCATGAGTCCACGTACACATTAGCATCATCACGTCCATGAATGCCAATACCTGTGTATGTGTGAGGGCCTCTGTTGGCAAATCTGTATGCCTGCACGTGTTCTCATGTATCTGCAGATGGGTACACAGAAGAATGATCATGCATCTGCGTATATAGTGGTGCTGCTGCATGGTGTAGTAGTTTTAAATGGAGGCAGAATGCAGTGTTTACTTGAGAGCATATGCCCTCAAATCAGGATACTTAGGTTCGAGCCCTAAATTCCTGAATTCAGCCTTTGAAAGCCGTAGACCCTTGAGAGAGTCATTATTTGTAAGTCTTGGTGCACTCGTCTCTAAATTGAAAATAATAACAGTGCTTAGGTTCAACGTCTAATGTCATGGCTGAACGATGCAACGTCCACAACACACTTAAAATAAAACCCGATAAGTAAGGTTTGTTTAAAAATGTTGGATGTTGCCGTTATTCATGCCATAAGTACAGAGGTGACTGGACTTGAGGGTCCGAGTGTGGCTCTCTGCATGGGTAACTGTGACTTGGAGCACACGAGCTTGGTACATGTGTCTCTCAGAATCTGTGTCTTGGTGTGGAGGGAACACGGACGGAGGTACACAGGGCCCGAGCCTGAGGATCAGTGGGGGTGTGCGTTTGAGTGTGGTCTTCCTGTGAGCTCCTCTTGAGTGGGTTCTGCCAGGACCGTATCCCTTCTCAGAGGAGGGATTGGCTCATTTATTATCGTGGAGTTGCTCAGCAAATCTGTGTTGACCAAATGAATGTAGACAGTCTGTTTCAGAGACTGATAGATAAGAGGCCCCATGTAGGAATCAAAAAGAAAGTGCAACTAGCTAGTTAGTCAGGTGACTGACAGATGATAGACAGACAATAGTCAGAGATGGACAGATGATAGATTAGATATATAATAGGAAGGAAGGAAGGAAAGAGAGAGAGAGAGAGATGATAGATAGAGTTGGCTCTGGATAGGTGGATTCCACTTTATTCTGGAAGAGATAGTCAAGTGTTCTGTCCTGGGGGGGTTCCAAAACCTTGCTGACAATAGCCCTGGGGGTCATCATGGAGCTGTGTTGAGGGCCTGAGCATGAGGAGTCACAGAATGGAGGAGCTAAGCCCCTGTCTGCCAGCAGCGAGAGTTCACGCCTTCGTTCTCCTTGTACAGGACACCTATGTAGAATTATATTTAAGGAAAGGGTTACCCTATTATAAATGTTTGAGGGCCTGGTTCTAGCTCAATCCCTTTTATTCTACAGAAGGGGCAAGTTGACGACCTCCTGACGGCTCTCAGACCTCCTCCTACCCTCCATCTCCCGTGGAATGTAGAAGGTATGAATCCTCCAACTCACTGGGAAATAGGAACCGTTCCTCCCAGTAACTTTTAGAAGCCACCATCCTCAGGGCCTTGGTGGATGTCTGTCCAAGAAACAGCCCCACTCGTCTGAGGCCTGCCCTAGCAGGCTGGCTCCAGTGGCTGGATTTGGGCTGGCTGGTGCTCCTCACCCCACCTCCAGGGAGCAGACCTGGGAAGCACTCTGAGCCAAGCAGATCCCCGGATGCAGTGTGGATGTGGGAGAGCAAGGTGCTAGCCAGTCTCTGTTGGCCCGTGGATTAGGAAGTGATGTGCAGCTGGAATGTGCATGTTTAATCAAGTGATGAATGATCAGGTGAAGCCGGGAGGGGAAATGCAGGAGACTCGCGCAGGTGAGCAGCTGCAGCAGGCTACGGGGTTCCAGGAGGAGTGACAGGCAGAAAGACAGACAAACCCTGGTTGCTCATATTTGCTCAAACCTGACTCCCGGAGCGTGTGTGGCCAGGCTGCAGCCCTTGCCCTTGGTCTTTGTGCTTCTTTGTCCTTATAATTAACTGCCCTGTGTCTGAGTGAGTGGAAATGGTTTCTGTTCCTCACAGGCACATCCTCTGTGAAGGAGGCAGAGCACTGCAAACTTTCATGCCAGCAAATAGACAGGCTCAACTTCCAGGGGCCTGACCCTGGCTCCTGACCCAGTCCCCACGGCCGGCTTGGAGGCACTAAGGTGTAGCTGGGGCAAGAGGAAGAATTCTCAGTGGGTGGCATCCTTGTGGAGTGCTTTGTGAGGGCCCATTAAAGCTCTCCAGGAAGGGATGCCCCCCATCTCTCTGGCTTCGCTGCCACCTTCCCGGGGCAGGATGGGTCTCTCATTTTTTTCCAGGACTTCCTGTTTACCCTTCAGAGAAGGTGCGCCATCATTGGAAGAGTGAGGCGTGTTCTCTGGGATGATGGCATCTCTGCACCAAAATCAAGCAATTTCTTCAGCATCCAGGTCCCTGGGGTAGGAGTTTCTTAGTGGCTCTAAGAAAGTCAATGAGGTGGAGTTGGGGGGACAAGGGAACAATGGGACCTCTCCTCCCTTGGAGAATCTCCAAAAGTGGCCTTGCTACATGTTCCCATGGCGTCCGTTGAGAGCAGGATGAAACACATGAGAGGAGGCGGGGAGAACCCAAGAGTCAGACTGTCCAGTTCATCAGCCGTCAGGTCAGGAAATGCCCCCCACCCCGCCCCCCACAGCAACCAACATGTGCTACACTCCCAGAAAAGCCTGGAGCCACAGTCTTTACTCCAGGAAGTTTGCTTTCAGGGTTCCAAGAGTAAAGGAGAAAACGAGAAAGCCAGCCCAGGACAGGCCGACAGGGTCCCCACTAGGAGACAAAGGGGACACACAGGTATGACAGTGTCAGAGTCCAGGAAAGCTCTTCTACTTCCCAAGCCAGGCCTGGCCTTGAGTCTGTTAACGCCAAAACTTCTGCGTGAAGTGCAAGGGACCCACTCAGGAAGGGTGAATGGGAGCCACTGCCGGAGGGAACAGCATGGACTCTATGGCCAGATGTCCAGCCGGGCTATCAGAACAGCCAGGCCAGGAGGACAGGCAGGAGGAGCGTGGGCCAGGCCACCAGGAACCCTGGAACACAGAGACATGAAAGTCAAGTACTGGGCTTGGGAATTCAGCAGCCGATGTGCCCTGGCCTCCTTGCCATGTGCCACATGGGATGGGGAAGGCAGAATGTCCTCCATGTCTGGTGTGGGTCACGGCCCCTGGGACCCCTGTGGTGGAGGCACAGCTATCTAACCACCAACCACTCTCCCCATTTTCTTCTGGGAACACAAGAAGGCAAATTTTTCCCAGGTTCTTTTGCAGGTAGGTAGCACGAAGTGACTAAATCTGGCCGATGACATGTGTCTGGAAGTCATTTATGCCATCTATATAGGCCAGGTTCTGAAAATCTCCAACATGATCCTGCATGCTCTCTCATCCACCATGCTAGGGATCAGTTGTGGAAGATGAAGGATAGAATCATAGGAAATGATGGAGCTGCCAGAAGTTACCAGAAGGAACCAGAGTTCCTAATGACCACACAGAATAGGACTGCACCCCACTTCAGCAATTTAGTGGGAAATTGTACTGTTGTGTAAAGGCACAGAGGATTTGGGATTGTTTGTTATAGCAGCCATCATGACTTATACTGACTAATACTGAAGAGTCAGAAAGGCACAAAGCAATGCCTCTGAGACCTGACTACTTAGTTTAGAATCTTTAGCTGGGCAGTCCTAGGCAAGGTAGGCAACCTCTCTGTGCCTGAGTTTTCCTGTATGCAAAGCAGATATATTGGTAGCACCTACCACCTTGCCAGAGTTTTGTAAGACTTAAATGAGTAAATTCATATCTGGCACTTAGAATACTGTATGGCACACGGTAAATACCACATAAGTGCTGGTTTTAAAAATTAGAGTCTTAAGACCTGAAGAGCTGGGATCAAATCTTTTTTGCACATTGATTACACTCAGTGTTAAGGAAGGTCATGGATCCTGGATGATAGCTGCCTTTTTCTGAAAGCCTAAGGGCGCATGTGCACCCTCTTCCACAACACTATCAAATTACAACATTTCCCCACCCCCCAAAATTCAAAGTAACCTGCTGATGACGTCCTAGAAGAAGGGAGAGGGCTACCATGATCTCCAGCCAGTTTATAACGATGACACATGAAATGGATGGACTGTTAATTCTAAAATATCAGGAAATGACTGTGGGAGAGAGAAAACTATGAAAACCACAGTGCCCTCTTGTGGTGGTCTGCTGCCTTGACATCAGATTGATCTCTTTCTGAAGGCTCCCAACAGTCCACCCTAGAAATCAGACAATTCAGCCGACTCTCCTGGGAAGCCACACTGTTCCAGGCCCTGTGCTGACCTGAAGGACAGGCAGAGCGGAAGGAGACTCAAGGTCCCTGAGAGAGCTCTATCCACTCTCTCCCATGGACAGTTCTTTTCTTAGTATTGTCTGAATGTTGGCATTAAGCATGAAGAGGCCATCTTGGACTTCCCGAGAAAATTTTTAGACAGCGGCCTAGTTGAGGACTTGAGGATGAAGGGAACTTTTTCAGGACTGTGTTTGACAAGGTAGGTCATTTTGAGGAGTAGCAAAATCCTAATACACGTGCTTCCCATTTTGTCCAAAATAAACCTCTTTGATTTGTCTGCTTGTTGAACTCCAAGTCATTCATCAAAACCCCATAAAATTCTTCCATGACCTTTCCCAGTACAGTGAATTAGTCTCCCTGTGCTCCTTCTGCACTCTCTACGAGCTTGCCATTAACTTCCTTATGTGCCAGCCTCATTGATGCAATGAACTGATGTCCCTTCTGCTTGTGGATTCCATTCTCCCCAGATCTGCCCACTCTCCATTTCTCATTCCACTGAATATCACTTTCTCCGATTGTGCTTCTGACCATTTATCCATTCCGACATTCACTCTTCCTTCCTACTTTGGTAATAAAACCATTGATCATTGGTTGGGTACATGGTCACCAGGCCCCCTGGGGCCATGTGGCTAAGCCCTGGTCAGTGAATACAAATAAAGTTATATGGGGCCAGCTTCCAGGAATGTGCCTCAACACTCATTAACTTCTTCTATGTTCTCTCCATCTGGATTTCTAGACGGGAGGGTGGGAGTTCCGGCTGCCATCTTGGACCATGGAGCTGATAGTCACATCTTCAAGATGCTGGAGCAGTGAGCTAGAAAGAGCCGATCTCCTTGCCTTGAACTGCTTGCCTCCCGATTTCACTTATGTATGACAGCAATACGCTTCGATCTGATTTAAACATCATTCGGCATCTAGTGACTTTCTGTCCCATCATCTTTTTTTTATTTCTAAATAAACGTTTGCTTACTTTTCATTGTCTGTTTCTCACGTAATGAGTTCTACGAGGGCACGCACCAGTCTGTCTCACTTACCACCATAATTTCAGTGTCTAGAACAATGCCTGGCACACAGTAGGCACTTGAATATTTGTCATCCAATGACTGTCTCCTCTGCTAGACTGAGGAGCCAGTCTCAGCTCTGGCCCATTGTGGCAGGCAGAGTCCCTAGCACAGGAAATGGCATGTAGAAGGGACTAGATTGAAGAGGGGAAGGAGAGGGAGTTGGGAAGGCCACCGGAGAGACACGAGGACATGATGTACCTGTAGTGCCAGGGGTTCCATTCATGACACCAAGAGACTGGGCACCTGTGAACGGGAACAGAGGGCAAGAACCTCTCAGTCATGCTCTGGGTGACTGCAGTACTGTGACCACAGCTGTTCCAAATCCTGACCTGGTCCCCACAACCGCAGACATCCAGTGGGCACCTTTCTAAATGCATCTCATGCACGATAAACTTAACCCTCCTGACAGATTCTGTGAGGAAAATGTCCTCGTCTCCTCTTGACAGATGAGAAGACTGAGACTCAGCAATGTGAAGGGACTTGCAGAGTTGACCTTGCCCATCAGTAGCAGATCTGGGATTGGAACCCCAGGATGTCTGACTCCAGTGTGGAAGTTCCTCTCTCAGTTATCCTGGGCACCACAGAAGGCACCAGACAGAGGGCTCAGGAAAGGGGCAGAGTGTCCTTCATGAGACAGATTCTGCTTACCCATGTGGAAAGTGGATGTGGCAACAGTGCTTACTTGAGCATTCAGAGTGTCGTTTTATAAAGGTATTTGGCATGGTGCCAGGAACAAATATGTATCATTATCATTATTAAAATTATTAATGTTACTACATCTTAATTTCTTTAGGGCAAAAAAAAAATGATTCCATTACTTTTGCATTTCTTGACACCTCCATTATGGTGGTTAAAAAGAAAACCATGACAGTACTGTGAGCCCATGTGTAGGATGGATAAAATTTGGGGAGCAGTTGAAAAGGTTCCCCTAATATCCTTCTCAAGAGTACTGTAACCAAATGTTGGAAAACAGCCAGAATACAGAGTTTCATCTAAGCAGGAACCTTAGACTTCACCCCAAAGGGACCGAGTTATGGGGATCTGGAGCAGGTGGAGTAAGACCAAGGCCACATGCTCTGAGATCAGACTGAGCTGGGCTCAGGTCTCATTTCCACCATCTAGGAGCAGGTTGCTCTTAGGTGAGTTCCTGATTCTCTCTGAACCTTGGCCTCTCACCTGTAAAATGCACACAGTTACGGGAGGATTAAGTAAATCGTTGAAAGCCAAGAGCTTAGCCAGGACTCTCGCACACAGGAGAACCATCACAATTGACAACGTCATTCTGTATCACGGAAAGACAGATCCACCAGTGGGGGCCCGACCAAGAAGGCAGAAAAGCCCTGGGTAGTTGGGTGGGTGACCCTAGGCACTATCAGCACCTGGCCTGCTGGCCTCGTTATCAGGACTAGGCCGCTTACCTCTCCGAGAGATGGGTCCCAAATCTAGAACCCGGGCTAGGTCAATGGCCGGTACTTCACTGCGGAGTTGATTTCTTGAACAAGACTGTGAGGATAGAGAGCTCTCATTAGATCCAAATTTAATTTGATGCCTGGTTCCTGTCCAGACTCCCTGCCATGGGTGGCTCTGGCCCAGAAGCTGGCCCCCACCCACCCTTTGACCCTAATTCTAAAGCTCTGCTTTTTTCAAACCAGAGAATTCTCACTGTCCTACCAAATAAATCCAGGTTTGAATCTCACCTCTGCTCTCTTTTAGTTGTATAATTTGGGGACAAATGACTTCTCTTTGGGATGATTAAATAGGACATATCTGGTTTGAAAGATTGAAATGAAAAAAAAAACTTATCTCTGCCAACAGGTAGACACAGTCAGTGCTACTCACAGACAGTGGCCAATGTGGGTAAGGGCAGGGGCCCTAGAGCCACAGCTCAGCTGGGGTCCATTCCAGCTCCGATACCCTCTAGCCATGTGTGGCTCTTGGTAAAGGATTCCTCTGAGCCTTTTTATCTATACAATGAGGTCAATTTAAAGCTCTCCTTACCAAAGAGCCGTTGTGCTAAATTTGATAAGGTGTGCAATAGCTGTAGCATGAAGCTCAACACAGAGGAAGCACTGAAAAATCCAAAATGCTTGGGTCCAGAGGGGTTTTTTTTTGTTGTTTTTTTTTCCAATTTTGGCATTCTTTAGACTTGGGAATATTTGCACACACTTTACCGGTCCATCATCCATCATCTGAAAATATGAAACCCTGCATGTTCCAAAATCCCAAAATTCTGATCATCATGTCGACCCTCAAAAAGTCTTGCATTTCAGAGCATTTTGGACTTCAGATTTTCAGAGCAGGGATGCTTCACCTGCATTATCACCATCATTCAAATTAGGTCTTATGCCAAAGAAAACAGCTCCACCTCCGGGGAACACAGTAAGTGCTTATGAATGAGCTTTCAGAAGTGCCCAGAGTCCATCTGTACATCCTCCTCTCTGCCTCCCTCCCTCACATGCACCCAGCCACCCATCTGTCCTTCCGTCTCTTCAGGCATCCATCCAGCCCACCTTCATTCCCTCATCCATCTGCCCATTCATCCACCCTTCCATTCATCCCTCCCTCCATAGATCTAAAAAGTAGGTATGGAGAGCCTGTCGGGTGCCAGCCCCATCCAAAGAGAACACTCACAGGCTGGCACTGCTCATTAAGGGAATCACAGAGGTGGACCTCACAATGCAGGAAAACGAGGTCATAGTTCCCGGCAAACATGAACATCTGCACCGAGAACCGACTTTCCGCGGATGCCCCGTTCTCAGCCACGTGGATGGTGGCGTCACGTTCATTTGGGCAGCTGGAGGGGCAGAAGGAAAAAGGTGTGATTTCATTGGAGAAAACTAAAGCGCACCCTCACACAGACACACACACACACACACACACACACACACAGTGACTGCCATCATGGTAGCCTGGACTCTTTCAATTCCTCTGTGGTTTAGATTATTTGGGGCCCAATCTCTGGAGTGAAAGAGAATAGTTTTAAATTCCAGCCTTCCCCAGTTTCCTGCTAAATGGTCCCGGGCAGATTTCTTAACCTGACTGCAAAATGGAGACAGTCATATTCATAGAGGGGATGGGAGTGCTTAATGAGACTACCAGGTACACTGCTGCGCACGGGGCCTGGCACGTAGCTAAGCTCGATGAAAAACATTATCTAGTGATGATACTATGACTCATGACCTGCAGATATTTATATTTATATTTCTTTGTTTTTGTCAGTTCGAATGAGACTTTCTCTCAGTACTTCTCAGATCATTTTTCATGTTGATCAGTGCTAACATCTGTATGAGACTGTTTTTGAACAAGGAGCCTATTGTCAAAATCTTCAAACATACTGAAATGGAAAACCATTGGCATTTCTTTACCCTGCCCTCCTATTACGTATTAATACTTTAGGCTAAACTATCAGGAGTGAGATTCTTGGCTCAGCGGGTATTGTACAATATGTAATGCCAAATTTTTCCCAAGGAGTTAGACCAACTTACACAACTGCCAAGCAGGAATGAGATTAATATTTCCCCCTAAACTTTGTTAAAGCCAAAAGATAATCCCAGACTGAGTTGCCCAGTACCTGTTTCTGATGATGAAGTACTTCACGGGGTCTTCCTTGTCACTTGAGGGTGTGGCATAGCAGTTCCTCAACAACAGGTTGAACCGGGAAGTGTCTCCTCTCTCCAAGATGGCGCCCACATAGAGTATGGACTCCACCGACAGCACAGCCATATCCCCTTCGTAAGGATTCATGTAGTTCTGGTCTTGGAAGAGGGCCATCCTGACGGTGAACTCTCCCTCCCCATCCACACTGATGTTCAGGGAACTGAGAGAAGGAAAACCACAGGAGTGGAAACATCAGGTTTTGACCAGAGAGAACAACATAGACCAACCCCCATACTTGTGTAAGATTATGGAGGCAAAGGTTTATCTTGTATCTCTAAAGGAACTATTCAATCTTTCATTTAAACTGAGCATTTACTAGCTTCTAGGCACTAAAAATGATGAAGACAGAACTCCGACTCTGGGATTTCCACTGATTGCCCTGGTAGGTTGCGTGACTCTTGCTCACAGAAGAAGGGTCAGCACACAGTGCCATCTTACCACCTGGAGAATGGGGCTGAGGACCAGTTCTGTTCACTCACGATTTCTAGCCTCAGACCTCTTCCCTCCACCCACAACCTTCCGTTGAACATCATTGTAACATGATAAGTGTCTTTCATTTTGATTCTCTGTGACCCATGTGCCCCCACATAATATAAATGAAAACCACTGAACTCAGAATTTTTCCACTCCTTCAGATCCTGCCCCTCTGTGAGCCCAGGAGTTTAATAAGGGAATGGGACAGGCACTCTGGATTTCTAGACAGCTCCGAAAATCCCCTGGTAAGCTTAGGAATGCTAAGGACCTGATGGGACAGGCCCTATTCCAGGCACACGGGTGCAGACAGTGGCTTGGCCTGTATTGAATCTCAGGCAGCTTGCTCTTTGGTTCTACTTCTGGTGGGACAAGGATGCTGTTTATCCAGTCAAAGGTAGTCTCAGTTTAAATCCCAAGTCTACAGTAAAGCCTTCCCTGCCCCCCATCCCTATCCCGCCAAGATGAGGTTCAGGACCCCCGTTTCCTGCTCCGGGAGCATCCTGTGCTCTTCCTACATTTCATTTATCTCACTTGTAAATAACTGTTGACATAGTTGTTTAATGACCTTCTTCAAGGTGAAGGGACCTGTCCTCTCATTTTGTTCCTAAGCGTGTTTAAAAGCAGTTTCGTAGCCGGACATTGCTTCATAATAAATAATCTCTAATATCCAGGAAATACCTATCCAATGTGTGCCCTGTTCATGATGAGGATTCCCCAATGTCCAATCAACACATTTTGTGAAATGAATGAGTAGGAGCTCCCCAAAGGGGTTAGTGGCATTGTGTGGACATCATGAACTGTGCTAGAAGGGAGAGGGACCAAAGTCAGGGTTATGGGTCAAAGGGCAAGGGTCATGCCATACCTCACAATGGGCCGAAGTGCAGTCTGGAGGCTGACCTTCATGTCCAGTGGGTAAGCACACTGGAAGTTGATGTTGACGAGGACGTCCCTGATGATGAAGTCGGTGGCCAAGGAGAGAGTGTTTTTGTAGAGGGCATGGGTTCCATTACGCTTTGGTATAAAAACAAAAACCACATATATGTTTCCACGGATGTGTGTAAGAGAAGGTCAAATTCAGATCTGAGACCAGAGGGAGGGTTCTCAGCCAGGAAGCCACCCTGTCTTCTGGCCTCCAGGAGGTAAAGGGGCCTCCTCCTCCAGAGGCTCAAAAACTTTATGGGAAGAGGAATGAGGAGGCCAGATTAAGAACAGAACCGTCAATAAATAACTGGCCCTAGGGAAGAGTCGGGGCCTGGTGGGCTTGGTGCCTTGTACCTCCCTCCCTCAGGAACCCTAATGAAAATCATCCTGACCATAGCTCACATCTATGAACCTCAGGCTCTAGTGGACCAGCGTGTTTAATCTCACGCATGACTCTGGGGGCCCAGGATCTCTCAGCACTACGACGGGTCCCCTCGGCCTGCATCCCACCATCTGGCAGCCAGGGCATGAACACCACTTACCTCCAGAATGTTCCCACAGGCACTGGCCTGAGCGGGACTGGTCACAGACACCCAGTTCCCATCCTCCGTTTGTAGGATGCTGCTGCAGCTCCGGTCCTTGAGGTAGGCGATGATCTTCTCCCCGAAACCCAGGCCTCCCAACAAGCACTTGTCTACCTTCACCTTGATCTCGCTGGCCCCACAGTCCAGCTGAGGCTGCAAACTCTGAATATCTGCAAAGCCACGAGGAGGTAGGTAAGGTGGACCGAGGTCTAGAAGCAGTGGGCAGGGAGCGTGTGCAAAGCCACCCTGCCCACCAAATGCTTCTTGAGCATCTACTATCTGCTTCCTGTCCCAGGAGTCTACCCACCACGTTCCCAGCATGAAGACTGTTGATATCTGAAGGCAGCATGTAGCTCCCGTCTTTGCAGATTTTTTATTTTTTGGTAATTCTTGGAGATTGAACTAAGGGCCTCACACATGCTGGGCAAACCCTCTACCACTGAGCCATATCCCCAGAATGTAGAGCTCTTGTGCAGTAACTTTGTCCCTCGAGGGTCAAGCCTGGCCATGGTCCAGCAGCTGACATGGAATATGTCCCAGCCCTCCCCCTCCCATCTTTGCAAATGGACAGAATCTCCCCAATCTCAGTCCATGCCCCCCGACTTTGGTCCACACCTCGTCATGACCTCCAAAGTCCCCTGCTCCTGCCCCATCCACTCAGGACAGCAGTCACCGTTTCCAGTGAGCGCCTCACCAGAGCCATTGAGGTCCTGTCTGCAGACGCAGACCCAGGTGCCATTTTGAGGGAGGCACTCCTCCTCCGGGCGGCAGGCCTGCTCACACCTGTCTTCCACAGTGGAGGGGTCTAGGAGATGGGGCCAGGAAGGAAGAGGATCAGGAGGCCATGCAGGGTGGGTCTGAGGTCCCCCAAGTCCAGCCCTCTCATCCCACCGGGGCCCAGGAGTTTGGCCAAGGGCGTGAGGTATTAGTGGAAGGGTCAACCTCAGGCTCAGATCTCCTGATTCCTCATCCAGCAGAGTAGGCGCCAGCCCTACAGCTCTATCAGAAGGCTCACTCCAGGCCACCGCACTCTTCTAAATACTTTCTCAGGTAACCATGGGAGTCAGAGCACCCTGAAGGTCAAGTCCTGGATGCCAGGGCTACAGTGCCTGGTTCAAATCCCAGCTCTTCTACATTCCAGATTTGTGATGTCAAGAGAGTTGCTTGACCTCTCTGTGCCCTCATCCAGGTAACTACATAGCACCTATTTGGTGGGACGATTTAACAAGTTAATACTGAGGATGGTGGGAAGCGCATTGTGAGCACCATAGGTTTGCTGATATTTTTGCTATTATCCATTTTTTTTTCTAATCAGACCAGGAAACTGAGGTTCTAAGAGGTAACTTAAACCACCCAAATGGAACCCAGATAGGGAAGAGCCTGAGTTCTTGACATTTTGCTCATATGCATTTCTAAATCAGGAGATCCCACCCTCCACATGGAAGTTCTAGTTTATGGAAATGTTGAACTGTCTGGCAACCTGAAGGCGCTCTCCTACGGGTGCAAGGGTGACATGGGGACTCGCATCCTGCAAGGGCTGGTGGGAGCTCTGCACAGCCTCCTCCCGACCAGCTCCCCTCATTCTGCTGGGGCCTGAGCATCTCACGGGCCACCCCACCCACAGCTGCCACTCACCTGTGCAGAATCTCAGATTGCAGTTGGGGCTGCCTTCCAAATGGTACACGTGGTACCCGCCCGGGCAGGCCTTCACCTGCACTTCAGTCGACCAGAGGCAACAGTTGTCACTCCAGTGGGCACAGGAAGTGTGGGTGACGATGCCCTCCCCAAGGTCAGGGTGGGTCCCGTTCAGCCACATGGGAGCGGCTGTCTGGCATCGGAACATTGGGACACAGGTCTCGGGCATCCTCACTCCTCCCTCGCCCACAAAGCGATACCAGCCTCTCAAATTGAGGTCGCATTTCTGGAGTTCATCTGTGTTCAGTGTGCTCCGGGAGGGGTCATTCAGGACCGTGTGATTCTCACAGGGGTCAAAACAGACCTCGGCCTCTGGGGTGCCAGGGGCCCCACAGGCCAAATCCAGCCCATAGGAACTGGCTTCTCGGGGGTCTCTGTAACCTGAGAAAGGGACAAAGTGCTTGGGTGGACCGAGCAACTCCACAGTCCACGGGGTCTCTGTCCCCAGCCCTACACTCTAAGAACTCCAAGGAGTCCGACAGGCACAGGAGCCATCAATTAAACATCAAAGTCCATCACCTGGAAATCAGAACACTCAGTGAGGCCTTGGGTGACGTTTAACAGTCATTCAGGACATTATGGGCCACTGCCCTGAGTCAGCCGCCACGCCCCACCCAGAGTTCCCAAGAGCTTCCCAGCGGGGCCCAAGGTGGCAGTCCTGCCTGAGCTCTCTTTATGTGGGAAAAATAACCCCAAACATCATTAAAATGAATAAAGGAGAAGTGAATGTTGTCACCATGCTGGCTTCCGAGGCACGTGGACTAAAAGGGAAGCCGTCCTAAGCCCACCCTGTTCCCAGAGGTAATCATACATGCATTTGTCTATACCCTTCACTCTCTTCCCATGCACAGGTGTGTGTGTGTGTGTGTGTGTGTGTGTAATATTATTTTCTAAAACAAAAATGAGCTCGGTGCCATTCACCTCTTTTTAACATGTACTTTTCTCTTCCCACAGTGCAGACTTTCCTCCCCATCAGTCGACACAGTCTAATGAGATTTCCCACATTGGCACCCTGGGCGTGTTGCTTGGGTCTTCGCCCTGAAGGCTGCCCTCACAGTAAAATCGTAGACTGTTTAAGAGAGCCCCCGGTCTCCCCCCACTGGGTGTTTCCCCTTCCCCTCCAGGGGACATTCTACTGTGGCTCTTGGGCACACTGGGACTCGATTCCCTTTTCTCTCGGCGCCGTCTCCCTGACTTGGAGCTCGGAGTCTTTGCTCCGGACCTGCCTGTTCCTCTTGCTGACCTCAACTACCTTTCCTGCACATCTCTAATCACACCCCAGGTCATTCTGGGCGCCAGATAAGCGGAGCACTCACCTTGCTGCGCTGTAGAGGCCAGAGTCAGGATGCAGGAGGCCAAGGCCAGCCACAGGGGGTCAGAGCCAGCCATCCTTCAGCAGGGCGAGGCGCGTGACTCACTCCACAGAGTGCAGGCTCCCCATGCAGCTCTGGGGAAGGAAAGGTCCGCAGGATCAGAGCCACAGAGGGGCTCCCTTTGAGGTGCCGGGGTAAGATGGGGACTCGCATCAGTTTAGCTCCGACCGTGGGACAGCACCTGGACTAAGCCCCTCACGTTCTTGATCTCATTTCCAGCTGAGGGCATTAAATCCACGCCCGGGCTGCAAGTTCAGTAGCTCGCTTATGCGATGCTCTCAGAAGCAGAACTGCAGGTGGAACTCGCAGAAGCGGGTGAGACAACGGGAGTAGGGGACTCCCCGAGGGGGTGAAGTGGACAGCAAGCAAAGCAAGGGCAAGTTTCGGGTCTGTGGGTGCTGCAGCACTTCCTAGAAGGGTGTCAGGTGGTCCCCGTCCAGGTGGAGGGGAATTCTCTCTGAGAGCGGAGGGAGGGAGCGGATTCTAGTGTTGCAATGTCTGCAGGAAAAGTCAGGGTGGCCTGCCTCAGAGTCAGGCATGGGGTCCTGCTGAGAGTCCCCTGAAGCGTCCTCAGCACAATTTCCATGATGGTGGGACCTTGTCAGACTGAGCCCCATGTTCCCTGCTCCTAGCACAGAATCTGGCCCTCAAGGATGCCCAGGAAAGATTTAACGGAAGAATGAATAAATACACAGGAGGGGCGAGGTAGTATGGGAGCCTACAGCACCCAAGGACGTTCACTCCTCTGGAAACTCTTTCCCTGGAAGGTCAATCTCTGGACAACGTCTCACGACCCCTGGAGGACTTCAGAAGAAGACAGAAATCTGTTTCTGGGAGCCCTGTTATGAATACACCATGAGACAGCAGGGACAGGGAACTACCCAGGACCGTGACTCTCAGAGAGGCAATCCCGGTGGAAACCCATCTTCCTGGTGGAGGTGTCTGGGGCAGCGGTGGCTTCTGCAGGCTCGGAGCAGCCAGTAGATGACTGAACCACGGTTGAGCTGGACACAGAGTGAGCCTGGAGCTCTGGACAGTGGCTAAGTTGGTCCAAACTCCTTGCTGGATTCTAGAAGCTTCCAGAAACAAAGGACCCTGACAAGTCTAAGAGGTTGAAAGTGGGAGAGCCCCTGGATTAGGAGAAAAACTTGCCGGGACTCACCTTGGGCTGAGAACCGGGAGCCTTGGCCCTTGTCTGGCCCACCGTGAGAACGCAGCCCGCTGGGGCGGTCTTTAATAGGGTTTCCCACCCATGTGGCTGTCCACGATTGGTGCTCAGGTAGGGCAGCAGTTAATTCCCAGGTGTGCCCTGGGCTCATGAGCATGGGAAAGATAAGCAACTCAGCACAAAGGTTGGCAAGAAAAAGTTCCTTGGCCCTCTCTGCCCTGTAATCCCTCCCAGCGATTGTTTTTTTCCTTCACACAAATTGCTTCTCTGCAAACAATCGCGATGTGTACTGAGTGCAAAACACACGGGGCGCTGTCAAGGTTTTCAGCACCATGACATCTCCCGTTAATCCTCACAATGGACACCCAAAACTGGGGCGGTATTTATTTCCAGAAAACAAACACCAAAGAAAAGGAAGTTGGATACCCAAAGGAAAGAGAAAAAGAAATGAGACAGACACTTGTTCTCACAGTAGAGTGCCAACGTACCCTGCGCCCCCAGCTAATCACCTTGGGGCACTTGGACGGCAGTCAGCTTGGAGGTGGTGTGGGCTACCCTTGAGACTGGAGGGTACAAAACTGAGTAGGGAATCTGGGATTTTTTTTTTATTTTTGGTACCAGGGATTGAACTCAGGGGCGCTCAACCTCTGAGCCCCATCCCCAGCCCTATTTTGTATTTTATTTAGAGACAGGGTCTCCCTGAGTTGCTTAGGGCCTCGCTTTGTCTGAGGCTGGCTTTGAACTCGCGATCCTCCTGCCTCAGCCTCCCGAGCCGCTGGGACGACAGGTGTGCACCACTGTGCCCAGTCGAGGATCTGGGACTTTTCAAACCCCCACTTGGACCTGGCTGCCAGGCCATGGTGGACATCATGGGGCAGATAAAAAAAGAGTCCAGGCTTTTGGAGAGCAAATGGCCAGTACCTCTTCTCCATGTCTTTGGGACTCTGGAAGGAATCAAAGCTGTCGGGAGGGAGAAGTTCAGGGATCTTGACCCCAGCAACAACCCTCCAGCAAAGTCTCAATCTGGATACAAGCCAGCTTCTCTACTCCTGGTACAAATGGGGAACTGTCTCCCAAATGGGGAACTTCAGAGAGCCGGGCCACGGCATATCCCTCGACCCCACTGGGACTGGCCAGGTGCCCCCTCCGCCTCCCCAGTGGTCCGTGTGAACCTTCTCCAGCCTCTAAAGTGGCATCTGGGACAATCACCACCCCACACCCCACTATTCTTAACAGGTGTTCTGCGTCCTGCGTCAAGAAAACCAGGGCCACAACTTGTGACCTTGGCCCTTCCCCATTAACATAAAAATATTTGCCTTCTACTCCTCCCTGCCCAAGGCCACCAGCCACCCTCGGCTTCTCTTTTATTTATTTATTTTTTTTAAGATTTGTTGTTTTTGTTGGTTCAAGTTGATGATAACTGTGCACGTTTCTGTCAGGCTCCACATGAGGTTGTGAAGCAGATACCTCCCTGCGGTGGTTAAATTTAGCTCCGTAACAAATGCATTACCTCACGCGGTTCTCATTTTCTGTAGTGAGATCCCATAAACGTCTGCTGTCACTTTTCAAGAACACGATATATTGTCATTGACTGCAGTCACCATGCTGGGCAACAGATCTCGGGAAATTTATGTCTCCCATCTAACCAGCATTATCTACCCTTTGGCCAACCACCAGAATTTACCTCCTCCACCTTATAATGACTATTATCAGAGAGACAAGAGAAAATGGATGTTGGTGGGAATACGAATTGGTACAATCACTATGGAAAATAGTATGGAGGCTCCTCAAAAATATTAAACCACCAAAGTGACCCAGAGATCGCACTACTGGGTGCCCATCCAAAGGGAATAAAATCAATATGTTGAGGAGAGCTGTGCTCTCCAGCTCACACCAGCACTAGTCACTGTAGCCAAGATATGGGATCAATCTAAGTGTCCATCAATGGATGATGGATAAAGAAAAACGTGGTATGTACATACAACGGAATAGTATTTGGCTGTAAAAAATAATGAAGTCTGGGTGCAGTGGCGCACACCTGTCATCCCAGCAGCTCGGGAGGCTGAGGCAGGAGGATCACGAGTTCAAAGCCAGCCTCAGCAAAAGAGGGGCGCTAAGCAGCTCAGTGAGACCCTGTCTCTAAATAAAATACAAAATAGGGCTGGGGGTGGGGCTCAGTGGTCCAGTGCCCCTGAGTTCCGTGCCCGGTACCCGCTCCTCCTCATCGTTTGCAACAGCAGGTATGAACCTGCAGGGACTCATGCGTGAACCCCCGTGAGATCAGCCAGGCACAGAAGGATAATCACACCTTCTGCCAGGGATCTGAACACGCTGATCTCACAGAAGTGAGCGCAGGAGGGTGGCTCCCCGAGGCTGGGTGGCCCGGGGGAGGAGGACGGGGGATGTTGGTTAGGACAGCCTCCTGAGCGACACCAGCCTCTCCATCCCCTTCAGACCTCTCCCATGTGAAGGGTGTGGCTAAAACTTCCCTCTCGAGGTTGCTCATGGGAGAGTCCAGGGGTCATTTTCTTCGCTGCTGGACCCGCATCCTCTGGTTACCCTGATTTCCTTGACCCCCCCAGGAGCAGAGTCTTTTTATCGTCCTATTTGGATACCCCACTGTTAATCTAGGACCCTCTTCCCCCAGCTGTCCCTGAAAACCCCGGGGAGGTCCCACCTTTCCCGTCACTCCAGATGCTCTCCCTGGGAGGTGCCCAGTGACCTCGCGGTTGCCAGTGCCATCCGCTGGCTGGTGAGATGCAAATCTGTGCCCAGCTCAGGCTGAAGCTCAGGTGCACCCACCCAGTTGGCGTGGCGCCTCTCCACTCGGCTGAGATGTTAAGGGACCTCAGACTCCACAGCTCCAATCAGCTCCCGCCGATTCCCCTCCCCCTCCTCCTGCTCCTTGGTCAAGGGCACCAGCGCCCTCCGAGCTGGCCTCCGTCCTGGCCTCCGTCCTGGCCTCCGTCCTCTCCCACCTCCTCCTCCTCCCCCCTCAGCCTCCATTCCCCACAGTCACCAGGCCCCGCCTTTCCATGTCCCAGATGTTTCTGGACTCTCTCCCTCCTGCTCCATCTCCACCTCAGCTATCCCAGTGCAGGCCGCCATCTGTTCAGAGGGTGACTTTTGTGGCTGTTTAATGGGTCCCTCTGCCTTTGTTCTCACCCCCTTTTGCTTCTGCACCCTCTCAGTACCCCGGCCTCAGGACCGTCTCTGGCTGTTATCCTCCACTCCCTACACTATATGCTCCCTGGGATCTGACCCCGGCCCAGGGTTTCTGCCTCACCTACTATGTCTCCACTGCACACTCTCTGCTCTAGTCTATCTGGGTTTCTCTGGGCTCTGGGTCACCTCCAAACCTTTCCATATGCTCTTCCTTCTGCCTGGGTCACTCTGGCCCCGGCTGCTTCTTACCGACCACCCCCTCTAGGAAGGCTTCCCTGGCCCCACAGGCTGGCCTGTGCTCCCTTCCTGTGCTCCCAGTCCGGCTCCATGACCTGATGACTTATCTGGCTCCCTTTGAAGGCTGTGGGATCTTTGCGGACAGGGATTCTGGCTAACCAGCGCCTAGTCAAACGGACAACATCTCAGTGGCCTGCTGCAGACTCTCTCTGGGAAGTAACACCTCGGCCCTGGGGCTGCCCAAGTGCCCGGCCAGGACACCAGACCCTGCCTCTTGGAAAGAAGAGGGAAGAAGAACTCATTCTGTGGTCCTCTCTCTCCCCTCTGGTTTGGGGCCTTGTTTTGATTTTTCTTGGCCCAGACCTTTCCTGTATTTTCTCTCGCAGCGAGTCACACTGTGGACGAACCTGCCTGTGGTCAGCGGGGCCGGGGCTGGATCCGCGGCCGCCTTCCTGTGTAAGTTCTGAGATAAGAGGGACTTCGGCGTCAGCCGTGGCTCACAGACACACACGTGTGGCCTTCCCGGGACCAGCCAGGCCTTGGCCTCTCTGGAAAGCCCCAGCTGGGGTCAGGGAAGCAGCTGGGCCAGGACACACGGTTCCCAGTGGCCTCAGGGTTCTCTGGTCCCCTTGGCACAGAAGTCCAGAGGCCCTGGGGACAGCTGCCTCTCCGGGTCCCAGCAATCTCTTGGCTTCTGCCTGGGCCTCCTGAAGGGTCCCCTGCCAATCGGGGAATGGGGCTGCGTGCGCATCCACGGCTCATGTGGCCCTGGAAATTGGTCTGTGACTTCTGGGTTGGGAGGGACCTGAGTCCAGGGAACGGAGGGGGCCCCATGGCTGTGACGGGCAGCTCCTGTGGTCCCTCGTCACCCTGAGGAGGGGGGGGGCTCCTGGAGGCGGGGCCTGTGTCTGTCTATCCACAGGGGCTTTCCAGCTCCTGGCCCAGAGGACAGGCTTCAAAGTCTGCCCCTTGCAAACCAAACAAACCCCTCCACGCCTGGTCACCCCCAGCCACGCAGGGGCAGCCGCTGCCCGTTCAAGCCTCCAAGTCTGGAAGGCCTGACCTCCTCGGAATTCCCTGTTCACGCTCTCTCTCTCCCACCAGAGGCTGCAGGAGGCAGGGCTGTGTCTGACTTGCTCACCGCCTGGTGTCTCCCCTGGAGCCCCAGCATCTGAGCATGGTGCCTGGCACATAGTAGCAGCTCAGAAAACGCTTCTTGAATCAATGAACGGATGGATGAAATGCAGGGCATCGTGAGCCTCCTCTAAGGTCACACAGCAGAACCCCGTTGAACCCAGTTTCTCTGAGCGAGCTGTGAACTCCATAAGGACAGGGACTGATCTGCTTCTCCTCCTCACAGGATCCTCCGTACCCCCAGACAGCACCTACGTGTAGTAGGTGCTCAGCAAATACTTGTTGAGTGAATGAATGACTTCAAAGGCGGATCTTTCAGAAGGATTATTTGCCACTCTCTTGAAGGAAACAGGGGCCTCGTGTACAAACACGTCACAAGCCCCATTTAGACCGCAAGCAGCATTCAAAGACCCAGGCGAGGATTAAAGGGCAGAAAATGCGAGCAGGCTCACACCAGCGTGGGCTCCCTTTTCCAGGGCTGGAGCAGGAAGTGAGCTGGGAGCCACAGAGCTCCTCAGTCCATCAGTGAAATGTCAGGGTCAAGGCCACCGAGACCAGCGGAGGCAGCCAGACCTTCAGGAGCTCTGAAACAAAAGCAATTACAAATTCACACCAGAGGCCTCTGATAGACTGACCCATGAGAAGAGGACACCGAGGATCGGTTAGAAACAGGGAGTTTTTTTCCTATCTGCTCAGAAGACTCGTGAGAAAAAAAAGGCACCCATTTGGGGTAGGAAAATAGGAAGATGTGTCTTCCCAGGTGGGCTGACTTGAAAAAGGCAGGCCATCCTCCGGCTGCAGGCTTGGTACCCCCTCCACAGGGCACTCTTATGCAGTGCCCAACCTGCTCAACCATCCTTAGAGACCCTGGAGGCTATTTACAGAGGGCAGATCTCTCTAGAACACCCTGCCCCCCCAACTCCAAGTTCACTAATACTGGGTTGGACTAGAGCTCAGGTTAAACAGGCTGGTGTGGCAACCCCGTGCATTCTAGTGCCAGGAGCCAAGAAAGGCAGTGGGTGCATAGAGTCTCTCTCCATGTAGATTTGCAGACAATTCAGGAACCTTGAAAATGAAGGGCCTCAAGACCTTTTCTTTGTGGTCAGAAAGCTGAAAAACGAGTTTTTGTGTGTGTGTGCGGGGGGTGGGGTGTGCTCACTGCAGCACTAATCATGGTTCTTGGCACATAATGGATCTCAACAAATATTTGTCACCTGTCAGGTGAATCCCGTAAAAGGTGTTAGAGGTGAACCCAAGAGGAAGTGCCCAGGGGCAGGTCTGGAGTGTGCATACGGGTGCAGGTGTGTGTGTGTGGAGTGGGTAACAGGCGTGTGTGTGAACGTGCAAACGTATGTGCATGCAACTGAAGGTGCCTATGCTTCTGAGTGTGAAAATGTGGGTGTGTGCGTAACCTCAGGGGTGTGTGCAGCCACATTGCGACCGGTGGCTGAGCGCGCCTGGGTCCCCGGGCACTGTCGTGAGGCAGCAGGAGTGAGACGGCCCTCCTTCTCTTCCAGGCTCAGCCGGGTAGGCCAGGCTCTGTGGCTCTCCTGGGGCTCAGGCAGAAGCCCCAGAGGACGTTCTGGAGCAGGTCTCTGTGCAGGAAGGACCCGACTTACCCAAGCTCCTGGAAGCAGCCCTGGAGACTGTGGCCTGGACACCTTTGTGGGGGAAACAGAAGGCAGAGCCGTGAACAGAGAAGGCACGAGGCCGCAGGTCTGGCGGGAAACCAGCCCCTTCAATCTGCTCTGCTCCTGGCAGCCAGAGCCATCTTTCTGAAACCCAGGCCTAGTCACATCCCCGCCCTGCTCTGGGCTCTCCAGTGCTTTCAGAAGAAAGGCCTGACATCTCAGCGTGAGCTAAGAGGCCTTGCGTGGCCTGGCTCCCCCACATCAGCTCCTTCCACAGGGTTCCCAGCATGCCCGGGCCTCTCTCAGAGGCTGCAGGAGGCTGGGCTCCCTCCTGCCACAGGCCCTTTGCTCATGCTGTACCCACTTCCTGGACTTCCCTCCCTCCTTCCCTGCCCCTCTTAGTGGATGCCACTTCCCTTTCCTAATCTTAGCCTTATTTCTCCCCAGTCCACTAGACGGGTTCCCTTGTCCCTAGAGCTTGGGCTCCTTTTGCATTTTCTTGGCTGCAGAGAGGACGGTTGCAGGCGGACATGTCTACGTGGGGTTACGGGAACAAGGCTCCCTGTCCGCAGGATTGGAGCTTCTGCCCCTCACAGACCCCAAGCACCAGCCCAGGGCCTGGCGCACGGCGGGTACCAAGACATAGTTGTGCAATGAACGAATGGGAACTGCTCCTGGTCCCTCTGTTCCCAGGGACATCCTCAGGAGCCGGACTCTGTCACCTGTCCTCTCCCAGAGAAAGTCCCAGCCAGGAGCCCCGAGGAGGGAGCGGCCGTCTCACCTTTCCGAGTGATGGGACCCAGGTTCAGGACACGGGATGAGTCTATGAAGCCCCCACTTCGGAATCGGGCCCTGGAACAGCTCTACAGGGACAGAGTGACAGAGGGAGCCTTCCGTGAGGGAGGCTGTTGGGACCCCAGCATCGGAGGGGGCTGTAGGATCCCGGGGCACCCTCCTGCCTGGGCGGGGGCTGAGGAGGCAGAGGCAGGTGTGAGATCGGGTCTAACGTCTGTCAGGGTCTCGGGCAAGTCACCTAAGTTCTCTGGTCCCCCTGTCCCCCTTAGCAAACGGGGCTGGTGACACGTCCCTTACACCGTCTGTGCCCATTGGAACCTTACAACAGGTAAGGTGCCCAGTGCTTTGGGCCGGCAGGTGGATTAGCCGTCCCCCGGCCGGGTGCAGGTCACTGAAAGCAGCGATTTCCCAGCATCTTGGGTTTCCTGCTTGGCCTTGGCCACCCCGTCACCCTGTCCCTGCTGACCTGGTGCTAAAACAGGGAAGCAGCCAGTATGTTTGCTTTCTCTGGGACCTCTGGCCAGATGCCTCGGGTCATGGGACAGGGGCGCTGGCAGGCTGGCTGGCTGGCTGGGGGCCGGGGGTGACTCACGGGCTTGCACTTCTCGTTGGCGGTGTCACACAGATACACTTCGCAGTGCAGGTAGACCAGGTCGTAGTTACCAGCGAAACGGAACATCTGGACGGCGAACCGGCCCTGCGGGGACTCTCCATTCTCCACCACCTGGATGGTGGGGTCCGCAGTGTGTGGACACCTGATGGTGGGCGAACGGGAGGGTCATGTCATACGAGGGGTTTGGTTAAGCAATGACTCTGGAGCCCAGACTTCCTGGGTTCAAAGATGGCACCACCACCGGTCACCACCTGTTAGCTGTGCAGCCTTGGGAAACGGACTTCATGTCTCTGAGCTTCAAAGTCCCCATCTGTATACAGCAGGGGATAATAACTGCAGCCCAGGTGGAAAGATCATTGTGGGGATTAAATTAGTTTATTTTTCCAAGTGCTTCAAACAGGATGTGGCCCTCTGTGGATGTCATCTATGTTTGATCTGAATGCCTTCTAAAAGCCAGCACTTTCTGATTTGGAAAATGCCATTCGAGGCTCATCAGCTGCTCTGTGCGGTCTACAGTGCATCTGTCGCAACAATGCAAACGTCAGAGGTGCTGAGTGTCACTGACCAAGCTGAAGTGTGTGCACCTGTCTGTAGGCGTACACAAGGACACCGAATCACACTTACAACCCCCAAATGGCACACGCAGAGACTCTCACCCGTCGGGAGGTGTGGACAAACTGGGGCAGGCAAACTGGGTGACCCTCTGCTATTTCCCCACGTTTTTCTCAAAGTTTGATTTAGAAGACAGGGAGAACGTGACATTGAGAACTGAGAAAGGGACTTGTGGGGGTGGCAGTCTCTGCCCTGTGTGCCCCAGAAGTCAGATCTGATCCTAAAACCACAAACTGCTCTTGATAAAATGAAAGCAGCCTCACCTCCCAAAAAGCAGAGAGAGGTGTCCCCCATGGCCAGTGACCGCCCAAGGACACCCCCTCCCAAGCAAGGCACCCAAGTGTCCTCTCCAGCAACCCTGGGTGTGTCCGACTTGTAATCCACTTACATATTTTGATGAAATATATTCACTCCCTAGAATCTTTAGATCAGGACCACAACTGTCAATCACCTTCCGCCACTAATAGAACAGGATCAAACAAATGAAAAGGTCAACAAGAGAGCGCTAGACACTTTAATCAGACACTGTTCATCGCACAAAGAGCTAAAACAGAGTTAGGCGCTCTTTTTTATTGCAAAGGGATATTCCTAGTAACAGAGAACATCTAATTAGCACCTGACTGAGAATCTCCCCTTTGAAACCGAATAGGTCAGACATGACCTCTTAGGATGCTTTCCCTGACTGTGCTATTAAAATGGCAAACGCGGCGCGGTGGCGCACACCTGTAATCCCAGTGGCTCGGGAGGCTGAGGCAGGAGGATCATGAGTTCAAAGCCAGCCTCAGAAAAGTGAGGTGCTGAGCAACTCAGTGAGACCCTGTCTCTAAATCAAATACAAAGTGGGGCTTGGGATGTGGCTCAGTGGCCAAGTGCCCCTGAGTTTAATCCCCAGTACCCCCCACCCCCAAATGGCAGACACCCTTCATTTTCCACGGCCTTTCTCCACTAACATACTATAGATTTCACTTTCATTTACTTATTGATCTCCCCTTCAGAATATAAGCCACGCAAGAGCAGAGCTTTTAGTCTCTTTTACTCACTGCAGAATGAGAGCCTGGCACACAGGGAGCCTCCATGGTATCTGTTCTACTTGTGGATGAAATGCTCTTACTCATGGACAGGGTCACAGTTTTCTAAAGCCTCTTGAATAAAGGCAGCACACTTGTGTCTTCCCGTTTCAACTGGTCCTTGGCTAACAGTGCCTGCTCCTCCTGGCTCCGGGCCAGGTGCCAGGCTGCCCGTGGCTCTGGTCCTACCTTTCCATCAGGAAAGGAGCCCTTTGGTGCTCTGGGGAAACTCCTGCAACCTGCCTCAAATGTAATGTTTTAAAAAGCATGCAATAAAATATTTTAAAGATTATATGGGAAACTAAATGGTAGCACATTTCTTTTTTTTCCTTCACATTTCTTAAAATATTACAAATTTTGATATATACTTTACATATTTGCATAGATATTATATATAAATGTATTTGCACATATATATTTGATAGTGCATTAAATGGTAAAGTGCAGTGGAAATTCTAGTACTATAGTCACTAAAAAGTATTGATGAGTAGGACTGCAAATTGGTGCAACCACTCTGGAAAGCAGAATGGAGATTCCTCAGAAACTCTGGAATGCAACCACCATTTGACCCAGTTATCATCCTCCTACTCCCCAAAGGACTAAAAATCAGCATACTACAGCGACGCAGCCACACCAATGTCTGTAGCAGCTCAATGCACAATCGATAAACTATGGAACTAACCTTGGTGTCCTTCAACAGATGAATGGATAAAGAAATTGTGATATAAATACACAATGGGCTATTACTCAGCCTTGAGGAAGAATGAAATTATGGCATTTGCCTGTAAATGGATAGAGATGGAGACTATCATACTAAGCAAAATAAACCAATCCCCCCAAACCAAAAAACTGTTTTCTCTGATATGTGGATGCTAATTCACAACAAGGTGTGTGTGTAGGGGGGAGCTAGGGAAGAATAGAGGTACTTTAGGTAGAGGGGAGTGAAGGGAGGAGAGGGGTTGTGGGGTAGGAAGGATACCCCAAAAGGAATTGTACATTATCACCCTATGGACATGTATGAGTCTACATTATACAACCAGAAGGAGGAGAAATCATACTCCATCTATTATGCTGTATCTGAGTGCATGGTACGGTCGTGTGGAATTAGATCACATAAAATGCATCGAGGAACACTGCAGTCTCTTCTAGGTGACTCTTCTTTGCTTTTTTTCTTTTCCTGGTCTATATTCCCAATGGAATGCCACATTTTAGCTCGAGGATAATGAATATAAAGATGCACTTTTCACCCACCCAGGCCCACAGACCTCCCCAAGCCCCACCCATGGGCGGCCCCGCCTGGGAGCCCTTGCCTACCTGTCCTGGATGATGAAGTATTTCAGGGGGTCTGTGGCATTGCCACTGGGAGTGGCATAGCAGTTGGTCATCAGCAGGGCAAACCGGGACACGTCCCCTCCATCCAGCATGGTGCCCACGTACAGAAAAGCCTCGGTGGACAGAGCCACGGAGGGGCCCTGGTAGGGCTGCGTGTAGGTCGAGCTCTGGAAGAGCGCCATGCGCACGGTGAACTCGCCCGTGCCACCCACGCTGATGTTCAGGGCGCTGCGGGCAAGAGCGGCTGGTCAGGGGACCCAGCAGGGTGGCCACAGAGGGCGGCCCTGCCTGCTCAGCACTCCTGGAAAGTCCCTGACAGTTCTCTGCATCTTTGTCCAGCAGCTGGACCGGAAGCCACTCACCATGACTTTGCAAACTGCGACAAGCAAGCAGGGGTCACCTTGGGGTCTGGTTACAATGCAGGTTCTGATTGGGTGGGTTCAGGGTGGAGCTCAAGGTTCTGCGTGTCTACCAAGTTCCCAAGTGGTGTGACTCGGCAGATCTGTAGACGGTATCTCAAGGGACATACCCGGTCCCTCTCTCGGTGGCCTGTGCTACAACCCCTGGGACCTTTCAAGATGGATCAAGCAACTTCTGGAGGAAACCGCCTGGCTTCCTTCTTTAGTCTGGAACAGCAGGTGAGCCGTGAGGAGCTCACAGGAGCTCGCAGACCCGGGTCTCAGCTCCTGGTGAAGTTCTAACCTATGTCAGATGACGGGGGTTTTACAAATGGTTTATTTTGTGACCTCATTGAAAACAGTCACACTAATGTGAACTTCACTGGGTGATCCTTCAAAGGACACTGTCACATGAAATAAAGTACATGAGAATACCCAGGGAAGTTGGAGCTCAATCACAGGTGAGATTTCTAGCTCAAACCCAAACAAGGTCTGATCACAAGAGGTGTCGCCCTGGCACCTCCCAGGCCTAGGACGGGACCAGGTTGCTGCAGGACACTCCTTGTCCACGTGGTGCTCCTGTCAACAACCTGCTGTGAGCGATCTTCTTCCTCCAAGTCAGCCACACACCCTCAACTGAGCCCAGAACCCTTCCCTGAGTCTGGCTGGCCCAGAGAACACGTAACCCCAGGCAAGCTTCAAAGTACAGGTCACCATCTGGCAGGGGTGCTCGACCTGATGTTTGAATCCCAGCTCTGCCACCTACTAGATTTTACAACTTTGGGTAAATGACTCAAACTTGTCTGAGCCACAATGTCCACATCAGTAGAAAAGAGGAGGAGGAAGGGGAGGAGGGGGAGGAGGAGGGGGAGGAGGAGGGGGAGGGGGAGGAATATCTACATTCTTAGGGCTACTATAAGATTTTAATGAGATGGTCTGTGTATAGCACTTTGCCTGACATATAGTAAGCACTCAATAAATGCTAATTATGAATACGGCTGTCCTTTTTCCCAATGTTGGCATCCTTGGGGCCTGTGATTCATTCTATTTGAAGGCTTTCCATTTTATTTAGCGACAGGATGGTCTCTTTAAAAATAGTAAAACCTAGCCAGGAGTGGTGGGTCAAGCCTGTAATCCCAGCAGCTCGGGAGGCTGAGGCAGGAGGATCACGAGTTTGAAAGAAGCCTCAGCAAAAGCGAGGCGCTAAGCCACTCAGTGAGACCCTGTCTCTAAATAAAATTCAAAATAGGGCTGGGGATGGGGCTCAGTGGTCAAGTGCCCCTGAGTTCAATCTCTGGTACCAATTAAAAATAAAAAGGCAGTTAAACCTCATGCGGTGCCCATCCTGGGGGGGATTCTCTGGCTCACCTCTATAAGCAACCCCCACCCCACCAAGGCACCTCCAAAGAGCATAATTCGTAAATGCTCTGTAGTCAGACATCTTCAATTTACAGAGAAGGGAAACTGAGGTCAAAATTTGGGCTATGATTTGCCCAAAGTCCCATCGCAGGGCTGGACTGAGACCCCCTCTTCTTCCCTCCTTTACAAAAAGCCAGAGATTCTAATATTTGATTCACATCTGCAGGACACTGCTGTCCTCCTAAGAAAAGTAGTACAAGTACTGTCCAATCCCTGGCTGACATCCAGAGGGGCTGGATGACACACCGGGTCCTTCTTCTTCTTCCTCAGGGGGCTGACACCCAGACCTGCCCCAGGGGGACCCGGGCTGTGGACTCCCCAGAGCAAACTGGTCAAAATACACCAGAGGCCGGATTTGGATTTGGGCTCCAGGGTTCCTCACTGGGGCCCTTCCACTAAGCAAACCTGACTCCCAGTCCCCAAACCCAGCTCCTTGGGGGTGGCAGCTGCCAGGGCAGAAGAGTTGGGTGAGGAAGGGGTTGTGGGTGGGGCTGCCCAGGCGTAACTGGAGGCCCTGCCGGCCGCACCTGACCATGGGCTGCAGGGAGGTCTTCAGGCTGACAAGCATGTCCAGCGGGTAGGAGCACGCGAAGTTGATTTTGATGTTGACGTCGCGGATGATGATCTCATTTGCCAGGTAGAGGGTGTTGCTGTAGGTGGCATGGGTTTCATTCCTCTGTGTGGGAGGGCGAGGAGCGGGAGAGAACCAAGAGAATCTTAGACTTTGATGCTGAAACAGGTTGTCTCCAGCCACCTGCCAGCTGCTGCCTTCCCAGTCTCTGTGATTAAGAGTTACGACAGCAGTGAGCCTTCGTGAGCACATGTCACGTGCCAGACCCTGAGCTACATGCTCTTCCACGTTACTGAATTAGTCCCCTGATGAGCCTAGGAGGCAAGCCCTGCTTGGTGAAAGAGGAGACAGAGGTTCCGAGTGACTGAGGCACGCAGCACGGGGGAGCTAGGAAGCCGGCCTCTTTCCAGTAGCCCATGCTTCATAGCAAGTCGTCACAGTGGAATTTCACCTCGCGACCTTGGCAAATGACAATTATTTACTTTCTTCTTTTCTTTTGCTTTCAGGGGATTAGAGAAGCAGAAAGAAGCAAATGCTCCTCACTCAAACCTTTTTACCTCTGCATCCCATCGGAGGAGGCCTCTGTGGGCAAGGTCCTGGGTCTCCAAGTACCCTGCCTCCCAGGGCCACTGGAAACCAGCAGACCTGGCTTCTGATCCCAACGCTGACCCCTACTGGCCGGGAGTAATCACTGCCACCGACCCTACTTTTCCCATCTGTAAAATGGGCAACGATCACCTGGATCTCCTCTGTATTTGAAGGTAAGTAACATTTATTCAGCGCTTACTAAGTGCCAGCCACTTCAGACGCATTGACGGGTGACTCACTGAGTCCTCTCAACAATCTGGTGAGCTCCGATTTAGTCCCTCAGCCAGGCCACAAAACTCGCCCATGCTCACACACCTGCTAAGTGGTAGACCTGGGGCGTGACCAGGCAGTGTCCGACCCTGCCCCAGGGGGACCCGGGCCTACCGTTAACACCGTCCCGCAGGGGCCCTCCTGGGCGGGGGTCACCACGGACATCCAGTCCCGCTCGCCCTTCTCCCTGAAGCCGGAGCAGTGGCTGTCCCGCAGGTACATGAAGACCTTGTCGAAGCCCAGGCTCTTCAGCTGGCACTTGCCCAGGGACACCTTGATGTCATTGGCCCCACATTCCAGCCTGCGCTCCAGGTTGGAGATGTCTGCAAAGTCAGGAAGGACAAGATTTGGGGCCTGTGTCTGTAGTTCAGGTGCCCAGCAGTCCCCAAGGGTCAGGCCAGGGTGGCTGGATTGGGCACCAGCTGGGATGCTCCACCTTGGAGCATCTCTTGGAGAGATGGGGACACAAGACTGCATCTGAGTACCCCTGCATGGGTCCAAGGGTCAACCATGCAGCCCACATTCCCCGAAGGGGGGGTTGTACACAAAATAAGGGATGGTTTGGGGGAGATCTTTGGTGGTCCAGCATTAAATAGTATTGAATCCAATTTTTAAAAAGAAAAGTAAAAGTTAAGTGTAGTTTCTTTCCAGTCTCTCTACCTGGAGGGGACAGTTCTCACTTACTGCTAATGTCTTTATTACTATGTACTTGTGACTTTTCCCCTTAAGCAGGGAGCAGGCCTTGGGCTCAGCAGTGACAGCCAGCTAGAATTTTCATTGGCTAAAGTACATCTTAATTTTTCAGTGTTTTTAGAAAATTGCTTTACTGCAATCATTGCAATAACTTTCTTTTCTGTTGATTTGTTTTGACAGTTAACTTTCTCAAGTCAGTGTTATTAAGCAGCCAACACGGAGGTGACCACCAACATCCCAAATGAATTTGGAGATGAGATGCAGTCCATTTGAAGAAAAATGGGTTTAATAATGAAATCCATCGGCTGAAGGGCACCTAGGTTGGTTCCAAAGTTTATAATATGTCAAAATACATTCTACTGCCATGGATCACTACCATGTCTAATAGGAACAAATAAAAAATATAAAAAATAATAATAAAATTCACAGCATAGGTGGTACTTGGAGAAAGCAGAATTGGGAAATTGGCACTGGGTTGTGACAGAAATCATGACAAGCCTGGAGACACTAGCCATCTCCAATAATTGTCATATGAAGAAACTGAGGCTCGGAGATGGCCAGTGCCCTGCCCAGGATCCCAAGCTGGTCAATAGATACTGGAGCCTGAACTGCAATGCCACAGGTGGCTTGGGTGGCCTCTGGCTACATGGTGGCAGCAACTTGTATGTCCACTGCAGGGTGGGGGACCTCAGAAAGGAGGATGAGTGTGAGGTCCCTTAATCCCTGGGAGCTTTGGGACCAACTAAAATGGCACAGGGAGCCAGTTTTAATGAGTGTCAGGGGAATTTTCCTTTTCAGATTGGGTTATATCCAATCTGAATATGTCCCCTGGGTTATATCCACAGCCCCCCCACCCCACCCCGGAATGTGCCCCTCCCCCAGTCTCTGACACTTTCTCAACAAACCACCTCCGCTCCGCTGTCCTTACCGGTGACGTTGAAGTCCTGTCTGCACTGGCAGCGCCACCTGCCGTTATCCGATATGCAGTCCTCGTCCCCACTGCACTCCTCGCACGTGCCCTCCACGGAGCTGGGATC